GGTCATGGGTAAAACCCGGAGCAGTAGTTATAGACTGTGGTATCAATTCTCTTCCAGGTAATTGTCCTTATAAGTTTGACAATTTAATTTGTGTAAAATATTTACCTTTTACTTAGACCCTTCAAAAAAGTCTGGTTATCGTTTGGTTGGAGATGTTCACTATGCATCAGCATCTCTGAAAGCGTCTGCCATAACGCCAGTCCCCGGTGGTGTTGGACCTATGACTGTTGCCATGTTGCTATCAAATACTGTGCAAGCAGCTACAAAGGTTGCAAACCTTATCTACAAAACCCAATGGAATTTAGACATACTTCCATTGAAACTTCAAAGACCAGTGCCTAGGTAAAGTTCATAATTATATTATGTTCTCTAACAAAAGTTTAAAGTATTTTCTTTTTTTTCCAGTGATATTGAAATTGCTAGAAGTCAAGAACCAAAGAATATAATGGTTTTGGCTAAAGAAATAGGTCTAAAAGAATCTGAAGTGATTTTGTATGGTAATAAAAAAGCTAAAATTTGTATATCAACTTTAAACCGTCTAAAGAACATAAATAACGGAAAGTATATTGTTGTTACTGGGTATGTAAATACAATTCTTGTTTGTCACTTCATTTAGAAATTCTTGATAAATTGTTTTTATAAAATAAACTATATATTAGAAAAATTATTAATGTTAGAAATAGTAATAGACTCTCAGCATACATAACACAATTTAAATATGTCTTTATTTATGTTAATAATTTATATATTAGGATACATTTATAACTTACTATTTTTTTTTTGATATCACACAGTGGTTATAATTTAATAATATAAAATATTTAAAATCACTGAAAGGAGACAAATTATGAATAATATATATTATAATTTTATAATAAAATATTATGTGTAGCAATAATTAGTTTAAATATTAATAATATTCGGTATTTATCCTGTTTTAATAATTTACTAAATAAATAGTTTTAATATATTTAATAGGATACTTTTTTTAATGATGAATTTTTCTAATGTAAGAATATAATACATTGTAGTATCACACCAACATCTTTTGGTGAAGGCAAGAGCACAACAACAGTAGGTCTAGTTCAAGCATTAGCAGCACACTCCAAGAAAAATACGATCGCGTGTTTGAGACAGCCTTCACAAGGACCAACGTTTGGAATTAAAGGTTTGTGAATATCTTAATAAATTTCACTAATATTTTTGTGATTAAAATTAGTTTTATTTATTAACATTGCTTTTATTAGGTGGTGCGGCCGGCGGTGGTTACTCTCAAGTGATACCAATGGAAGATTTCAACCTTCATCTGACTGGCGATATACACGCAGTTACAGCTGCAAACAATTTGATGGCTGCACAAATTGATGCTCGTATGTTCCATGAAGCTACCCAAAAAGACCAAGCCTTGTATGATCGTCTTGTACCAACTGTGAATGGTGTGCGTACGTTCTCTCCAATACAACTGAAGAGATTAAAGAAGCTTGGAATTGAAAAGACTGACCCATCAACGTTGACTGCTGAAGAAATCACTTCATTTTCTAGGCTAAATATCGATCCAGACACTATATCATGGAATAGAGGTAAGTATTAAATAATATTCACATTTGGTTTAATATTTTAAGCTGGTTTATTTGACTAAGGTCATAAGAATAATATTTTCTGCTTTTAGTAATGGATACAAACGATCGTTTTTTGCGTAAAATTACAATTGGCCAGTCGCCAACTGAGAAAAACCATACTCGCCAAACATGTTTTGACATATCTGTGGCCAGTGAAATCATGGCCATTCTGGCTCTAGCCAAAGATGCCGGTGATTTAAAAGAAAGACTATCACGTATAGTAGTGGCACAAGACAAGAACATGTGTCATCTTCCATCAAGTAAAGATATCACTGCAGATGACTTAGGTATGACTGGTGCGATGGCTGTGCTTTTGAAAGATGCTATTAATCCAACGTTGATGCAGACACTTGAGGGGACCCCAGTACTGGTGCACGCTGGCCCATTCGCTAATATTGCTCATGGTGCATCATCTATTGTAGCAGATTTGCTTGCTTCTAAACTAGTAGGTCCCGATGGCTATGTTGTCACTGAAGCTGGTTTTGGATCAGATATCGGTAAGTTTGATATACAATTAAAGGGACAACTAGACAAGAAAATCTTATGATTACAACAAATTTTTTATAGGAATGGAAAAATTTTTCAACATCAAAACCAGATATTCTGGTCTTTTGCCAAGTACCATAGTATTAGTGTGTACTGTTAGGGCCTTAAGAATGCATGGTGGTGGAGCTGTCAGTCCCAATGCCTCCATTACGCCAGTAGAAAAAGAAGTAACTGCATTTTATTTAACTTATTTGTAAGATTGTCTAATGACGTTAATTTTTTATAACAGGAAGCATTGAGTAAAGGTGTGGCAAATTTGCAAAAGCACATCAGCAATTGTGTCAAATATGGTGTTCCTGTAGTCGTGGCTATAAACGCTATGAAGGCCGACACTGAAAATGAATGGAAAATTGTTAGAGATGCGAGTCTACAGGCTGGTGCAGTGGATGCAGTTGTGAGCACTCACTGGGAAAATGGTGGGTCTGGAGCTATTAAATTAGCTGAGACTGTCATTAAAGCCAGTCAACAACCCCAAGAATTCAAGTAATCTACAATACTATTGCTCGTTTTGCTGTGGAATGTTAAATTTTTGTTTTTATACGTAGATTTTTGTATGACCTGAATATGCCACTGCAGCTCAAGATCGAAACTATTGCTAAGGAAATGTATGGAGCACAATCCGTGGAGTTTAATGATAATGTTTTAAACAAATTAAATACATACGAATCTAAGGTGTGAATTTATGTCATGTTTATTAATTTAATAATTTCTTAATGTGCCAAGAAAAATAATTTTTCTATAATTTGAAATGCTTCATAATATTCAATTTAAGTATGCCCTTATGGAATTGAGAATCTATTAAATATTATACACCTGTGCTATACATGTTTCTCATCATTGAAAATTTCAAATACTATTAAATACTTATAGGGTTATGGAAAGTTACCAGTTTGTGTGGCAAAAACAGCGTTGTCATTAAGCGGAGATCCAAATCTGAAAGGTGTTCCTACAAACTTCACACTACCAATAGTGGATGTATATGTATCTGCTGGTGCCGGATTTGTCGTAACAATAGCGGGAGAAGTAATTCATAATATTTTGGCCAAAATAATTAAATATTACAACAATGAAAATGTGTAATGCGTAATTTTTTTTAATATAGATATCTAAAATGCCCGGCTTGTCTACTCGTCCAAGTATCTACGATATCGACTTGAATACTGAAACAGGAGAAATCATTGGTCTATTTTAGTAAAGCCATTCTACCATACCCATATAGTGCCATACAAATTCTTGTTGAAAGTAACTTATCATTATTAAATTTTAATTGTTTTATTTTTGTATTTTATAATTAATAAATAAATACACTATGGCGCTTTCCATATATTTCATATATTTCACATGTTTTATTTATTGTAACACAATTCCGAAAAACTTGTAGTGTTTTTCACTTGTAAATAGAGCAAAGTTCTTAACATAAAATTGCTAGGTACGTTTATTTTTTAAATATCAAATGATACCATAACTGTTTTTTTTCTTGTTTTTTTCCCCAGTCTTAATTAATTAAATAAATTAAAAAGAAAATATAAAAACATATTAATATGTTTTTTAGGTAGTAAAAATTTGATGTGTCAACTGATTTTAAACAGTGAGTTAATAGTCTCTAAAACATGATTTAACGGCCCATGATTAGTCCATTAAATTAATTCATTTTTCATGCAAACTGCCATTAGTCTTGCATATTAAAGTTGGTCGTGTTATGCTATGAAGTGTAGTGTACAGAATTTTTACTGGAAATATTTTCATGGTCAAATAAATCTTTTTAGTATCTGCTATTGCCAGCCTGAGTTTACGATAAAGGAAAATCGATATTTTATAAACCAAAATAAATTTAACACAATGATACAGATTTTATATCATATATATATATAAGGTACAATTTCAAAATTTAAATTCAGCAATTTTATTTTCAATTTGACCTAAACTGTAGGAATTACTTCATTACTTACTGGACCACATCATTTCAAGTTATGTTAAATTCTACTCAAATTTTATATTTTAAATTACCTCACTCAATCACGTTTTAGTACATCGTTTACTATCAATGATTATATCGGCATAGATACATTTCGATAAATTTGAAATATATGAAGCTTTCTGGAGGGTATTCATCGCATTTTAAGTAAATTACTGAAAAATAATTTTAAATCAATGAATTCATAACTTACAATAAATTATTACTATTCAATAATTAGTTAATAAACAGATTTAGCAACAATTGTTTTACTAAAAAATTACTTAATATCATAGATAAATTATTTATTTATTTATTTCGGTTTTAAATATAAATTAAACACGTTGTTATTGATAAGTAGTTTATTGTCATAAACATCTAAATTATCATTAAAAATTGTTTTATTTAATACATTTTCATTATTTTGAATAAGTGATCATTTTTTTGTAATAGTTCATTTAGTTTTATACTTTTATAGTAGTTATTCCCATTTTTTATTTTTACTTTTAATGATTACTCTCACATTTAAACGCCAATGTCGATTTTACAAGTGGCTGCCAATTGGACGCACATTATCACTTACCAAATTGGTAGATTTGATATAATTGTCCTACTGTAATGCAAGTCGGATGTCCAATACACATTTTAAATGTGTTTTGCCATAACCACTCAATAAAGAATTAATACAAAATGTCAAACGGGTTGCCGTATGTTAACAAAGAATTGACATCGGGCACTGGCACCATTTTACTCTTATCGTGTCAAAGGTTTTAGTTTCTCATCCTAGGTTATACCCTAGATCTATCTTAGCACCAAGAATTTTTTTTAGTGTTATTTTAAGTGCTAACCAATTAACTTGCATGCAAATGAAATAAATACTATTTTAAGAATAATAATATTTAATCTACAAAAATAAGATGACAAAATCTAACAAAAACTAGTACTATTTGATTCGAACGGCCGCCCTGAGGCGTGCTGATCTGCTTCTAGGATTTGATTCAACCTCTTCAACACTTGGAGTTATCACATGCTTGTGGATTTGATGCCAACAAGTGTCATTGACTACACTCATAAACTCTTTATCGTAGGCCTGCATTGGGTTAATGTACTTCAAGGGCAGAGTGTTAGCCATGTTTTCATTGACATTACCCTGAATATGCCGTTTTACTATGGTGTCTTCGAGAGAATGAAAAGCAACCGTCACCATGACTCCTCCCATTTTCAAATAACGGCTTGCCAACACTATACTGTGGTTGATCTCGTTCAATTCATTGTTGACAAATATGCGTAACGCTTGGAACACTTTGGTAGCTGGATGAGCTGGCCTATGCAACATGTCGCTTCTCATCTCATTGTCGCAAACATTTTGGACAAGCTCACAAAAATCACGTGTAGTTTTTAGTGGCTTAAATAAATACCTAAAATACAAAAACAGGTAAATAAATTATTATTTGCCGATCCAGACCAGAACATATTATATGTTAATTGTCAATATAATTAAATGTATAATGTAAATAATGGGAATTCCAAATTGGTTAAAATATTAATTGTACCCAACTACATTTTAACTGCTAAAAACATAAATTTACTAATATCAAAACTTAGTACTTCTTAAAATAATAGTTAGGAATTCTACCTTGCTTCGATTACAGCATTTGCAATTTTCTTTGACTGTTTTTCCTCTCCGTATACTTTAAATATTTTATATAGATCTGATTGATCAGCTTTGGCTAATACATCTGCCGCAGTAATAGTCTGTTCTTCAGGATCCATTCGCATATCTAAGGGGCCATTCTTACTAATTGAAAAGCCTCTGGAAGCCGTATCAAATTGCATAGAAGAAGCACCAAAATCAAATAAAATACCATCAAAGCTATTCATTTTGCATCCTAAATTTTTTAACAGAACTGGCAAATCACTAAATTTACCCTTCAAAGGTACCACTCTGTTTGGATAACGTTCAGAAAGTAGTTTTGCCATAGCACATGCAGTTGGGTCTCTATCCAAACAATAAACAACTGTTGTATCATTTTCTTGCAGAATCCTTTCCGTGTGTCCCCCGGCCCCGAATGTCATGTCTATGATGTTGTGGCCCTTTTGAGGTGAGAGATAACTAATTGCTTCTTCCAGCAGTACTGGTTTGTGAGGCCTGCTGTTGTGATGGCGTACTAATTTTATCTTTGATTTTGTTAAAAGTTGTCTTAAAGAAGCCTTCATTTTGATTATTTAAAATTGCTAAAGATTCTCTAGACAATACAGCCGTGCAATGTTGACTACTGAGCCCGGACGCTGATGATTGGATTGAACGCTTGTATTTGTTGCAGTAGTGGTTGTCCGCCAGACGTTTGAGGGACTCGTATTTCTTTAAGCACTTTGTGGTATCACCACGAAAGGAATCACCAGAGCTGAAGGCCGCTCCTACTTCTTTACGGATGTGTTCTCCAAGATCTCTAAGGAATATATGAAATACTTAATACTGTTGTCACCAACCATGTTATTTTGCAAACTCATCATTAAATTCAATTTTAATTTAGTCATGAAAGGTTTATGCAAAGGCTTAAGCACATATATTAAAAATAAAAATATAAAAAACAAATATTTAATTACCTGCCGGTTTTACTGGGGTCCAACGGCCATTGCTGCAACAGTTTCAAGTAGTTTTTATAGAGGTTGGCCATCTGAAATGACAAATTGTTACTGCACATAGCCACATAGATCAGTTAGTGACAGATGACGATCATGAACAAAATAGATTATGTTCATGGGTACGAATAATATGAAATAAAAATAAAATGAAATTAGAGTTACCTATTCTGAGATTGCGCGTGTGGCCTTGTTGTTGGCCAAACTTTTATAATTCACTTTCCTAGTTTCCGACGCTTTTAGTTCTTCAATAAACGAATAGACAGAAATTAAAAAATGTCTAAGCGTTAAACTTCAAACTTTTCAGTGTTACACAACAGAATGTAAACTTGTTTAATTCCTATTATTATTTATCATTAGTCGTAAAGAATGTCCGTGAAACACGATATAGATAATATGTAATCACAGAATAATAATAATCACGGTTGTAGATAAATATAACCGTGATAAAAATGTATTTATTTTGTTCTGCGAGTTTGGTAGTACCACCCTGGCACAGCAGGTGGCGACACTAATAATACGGGCCCAGCCACCTGTTGTGAGCTATAACCATTAACCAACCTGTTGTTTTTTTTTCATGCATCTAAAATCTGAATATCTAATAATATTCTATTATGTACTCATGTAGAACACATGTGAAATTGTAAAATAATAAATTAAAGTTGTAGAGTACAACATAGGAGTGTCAAGTATTTTCTCTTTATTCTTAAGTGGTTGGTTAAATAATTAAAACGATGAAACACCAACAAAGTAATTATAAATATTAAAAACGTACAAAATTAAAACAGTATTATAATTCAATGTTATATTGAAAAAAACATTTTTTTTTTTTAATACTCAGGTCTCGAGTACCTATACATGATTGTTATTAATTAATATTTATTCTTATGACTTGGCTAAATGTTTTTGTTTTTTCAATTGCTGTGTTTTCTTAATTGTTTTAAGTTGCTAATATCATAATATACAAAATAAAATGCTTTAATATAAGTATTAAATAAATAAAACTTAACTCTTTTATATTTGTGAGCACCATTTAGTTGGATCTTGGATGTTTCTTATTTGTTTTTGTCAAGTATTTTGGAAAACCTAGGAAAAGCTTAGAGTTGTGCCCGTTTTTAAAATAGGAATAGTTATTTATAATTATTGTTCTATAACTCCTTCAGAATTTCAGATACTAAACATATTAAGTATATTTAATTCATCCTGTTTAAAAAAGAAATTATTTTTGAGGAAATAAGTGTATTATGTTTTAAGTATTTACCAGTATACTATTATCTTAAAAAAAGTTACATATAATATACCTAGGTCTAACTTGTGTTCTAAACATTTTGCTACAGAAACTTCATCAGAGTCAACCACGTGATAGTGACCATAGATAAAATATAAACATTTATATTATATCTATGGTGGCAACTGGTGACTATAGTCTATGGACTATGACCATTCACTAATATTGAGTTTGAATTATCTAAGTTTCAACAGTTATGTCAGGTTAGATGTTAGTCCTCAAAACTGCCTCATGATGAAATAAAACACATTCTATATTATAATGCCAAGTTTTAAACTATAATGAATTGTGCATGTATAATCATCAATAAGTAATTAATTTTTTTATTTTATTTGATAACATTACTAATCATGGTTTAATTAAGCTCAGAATTAAATTTTTTTTGTGTGAGAAAATGTAAATGAAACATCAACAAAAAAATTACAATGTTAATAATTAATAAACAAATTTTGCAATTAAATCTATAGTTAAATTTAATAAAATCACCATGTTCATTATCCAACCTTAACTGTCATAACTTTTGAGTCGTACACTATAATTTAAAATTAAATAAGTAGACAGTCAATTTGTTCTAGAGTAGAATGAAATTTATCAATACATTTCTAGTTAGCAAAATAAAAAATAATTGTACTACCTAATTTATTACTTTTTACTAGTCACGTTCCAACGGAATACATCTAATTTAGTCGATTCAGTTAAAGAATCATTTTTTATACATTTCAATTTCGCTAACAAGTTGGATGTTTCGTCATTTTTGCAGAATGCAGTGAACTGGAAATCCTGTTGAGCTTTTGTAATAAGTTGAGCAGCGTACCCTTTCCTTCGTCTCGATCGAATTGTATACACAAAATCCAGAATATTTGGTTTTGTTTGTTGTTCTAGAGGGTCGAAATCGCATTTTGAAAGTAAGAGGATTGATGTAGCAGTTTTCTCATCACCCGTTATTTCATATAAAATTAATGCGTGCACATTATCGCTCTTGTTAACGGTATACCAACCGATTATAAAGTTTGAATCTGAAGCAATCTCACTTTTATATTTATCAACAAATTTTTTTACTGCATTGATTGCAGGAACGCCAGAAAATTGTAAGATAGACATTATTGTTGATTATTGTGCTTCAGATTATTTAAAAAATGTACGTTCATAAGCACTATTGTAAAATATGTATTATATAATTGTTTATGTTCGTCAGTAAAACATAATATTATGTAATTGTCACTAACGAGTAACGACTAACGTGTCCGCGGTCCGTTCACTGTTTGGTCTGTGCGCAACACGATTGAAATTTAGGGTGAAAAATCAAAATATATCCATAGACCATAAGTGTACAACGTTATTCGTATTACTGTATCTGTATTATAATATAAAAAATATTATGCGTCAACGATAGACTTACCTGCCTCCAGCGATAAAGCGTATGAGATCGGGAGAGATGCTGCTGCATGTAGGGTAATAACCTGGTGTGGTTATAGAACGGACTGGAGCGATTCATGGACTTGTATAATAATAAAAAAATTATATACTATAAGTCTATAACATATTATTACAAATTACAATTATGCAGCATGCCGTTAAATCACCGAAACAGTGGACTAAATTATTGAACACTACAGTGATGTACCTATTTTGCCTATACAATACGCCGGCGACACATCAGGTTTGTGCAAAATATTATGTAAAACAAGTATTTACATACCTATACAAAGTGTAACTGCTGAATGACCTGACAAATGAAAAATGAAAAATCGATACTAGTCAAACATAGTATGAGAAAAATTATGAAAATTATATGAATTTTTTCTTTTTACTATTAAAAATAATATGTTATATATACTTTGTTATATTGTAGGTACTTGTGGCGCAAGCGTCTTTAAATTGTATATATTTTAAAATATTGGTTAGGACGAAAGTTTTTTTCATTTTTCATGTGTAAAGTGTATACCTGATATACCTCATCAGTCATCAGTATACATAGAATGATTTTTAGTGTAGTCTCTTACCAAGGTCCTATATGATAGGTAGGTCTAAGAGTAAATTACTGCTAAATGAGCTTTAATAAATAATAATAAATAAAAGCTACATTAATTATAAATTCATATTGTACTGTAAGGTTTAAGAATGAAGCCTATTTCGAATAACGAACAAAGTGATTAAATAATATGAAATATTATATAATATATAATATACAATAATGTTCGTGGAAAAACGATGTTGGGTAAAAATATTAAAATCAATGAATTTATATTTGATACAAATATCTTTTGCAATATGACATAATACTTTTAGCATACATACAAAAAATAGGTATTTTAAGGAATTTAGATTGCAACAAATACAAACAAATTCTATATAGGCGTAGTAATGGATTCATGCTTAGATCACCTAAAAACTATAAAACATTTCTCTAATAAATAGCCAACCATTCCCTAAAACCGACGTTATACGGTACAAATCCCTTTAGAAATTGACTCAATTGTAATAAAAGCGTACTTTGACATCACATTATATTATTCTTATACATTTTTGAGACAATACTTCACGTTCGTAGAACAAATTGATGAATCATATTATAAATAGGATAATGCCTTATACGTGTTTGCTACGCAAGTCCTACCGTAAAAATCGTAAAAACAACCTACCGTACCAACCTTACCCCTACCATAGTTCATAACCCCTACAACAGCTAATGGCCTTAGTCGGCGGGCTTAAGTTCAATAAAAAAAAAAATAACGAATTTCGTCAACATATTGTGATCTTCAAATGCTTGTACTGATTTTTGTTGTATGTGTTTACCTTTTATATTATTAAATAACTATAATAAAAGCATATATTAAGCAATATTGTAGGTATAACAATTTTACGAGTTATCACAAAGTGAACATTGTATCTTAGAAAAAAGCTAAATCAAAAATTTCAAATGTCTACAAATAGCTAAAAACTAATTTGAAAATTATGCCAGGTATAGAAAATTATCACATAACAAACTTTTACTTAACTTAATTACGTTTTTTTACTATAGGTACCTAGAAAACCCTTAGAGGAATCTAGTCTAGGAATCAATTATTATTAGTTATATTAAAGCTGTTAATTGTCGTCTTTCTTATACAATGATTATTGATTTTATATCATTGAATTTAAATTTAATACGTCCATTACAGTGACCCACACGACACCTAGTGTGGGGCAGAGAGGCACCCACTTACCCACCTTCTTATAACTGATTATATTTTGTTAAATGGATTGATAACTAGAATAAAAAAGGAACAATTTCAATTTTTATCATTTTCTTTCTATCAGACATTCTTTAAAATATTTTTAAAATCATATCCATATTATTTAATTTTACACTTGATTTAAGTAGTTTTGGCGCCCCAATTATACCCCAATCATTATATTGGATTTTGGTAAAGGTATTTTATTATAATAGATTATGGAATCTAATTTTGTACATTATTTGATATATTTATTATAATTCAACATGAACGTATTCTTTTTTTTTTTAAAGGGGCACGAACGACTTAGGTTTTTACATACTGAACAAATTCAACTTTCATGTGAACTTTTCAAACCCCGTTGGATGTAGTTGAATGTTCATGTGCCAATTAATTACATTTATAACGTGCTAGAAGCATTTTGAACAATTTATTTCCGTCCAGCTTCAGAACTTTTATTATCAATAAATAGGATTACTATCTTTCTCATTCCATTAATTTTCAAAATGATTGAAATATTTATTTTAAAATATAACAAACGGATAACAATGAATTATTTTTTATTGTAAAAAAGTAAATCGTAAAAAGTACTAATTCTGTTATAACTTGTACTTTTAATAATGCAAAATGATTGATGCAGCTTATCGAATAAGTATTCACGATATATATTGCTACTATACAGAAAAGCATACCTACCAATATGATGTATATAATGTGGAAAATATAGACAATCAAATATAAACATAATAAGATATAATAATAATAATAATAATAATAATAATAAATGGTAAAAACTCCACACAACAATATAATATAACTTCTCCCACGCGATGGGCTTTTAATAAAAACAAGTCCTTCTAAATCTTCCCTATAGTTTAATGGCGTTTATGGTCTTCACCGAGGTGGCGCCCGTTTTTCTAGAGGCATTCTTGCCGCTGGTGCAGTGGTCCGAGCACACGTTCATCTGGACGGTGAGGTTCTCGATCTGTGCCTCGAACGCCTGCGTCCTCCTGAACATCTGCACATAGTTCATCTGAAGCTGCCTTTGGTAACACAACACTTTCTCCTTCTCTTGGAACCACTTCAGTCTTTCCTGGTCCCAGTTTTTCCGTTCCTCGTTCAGCACCCGGATCAATTTTGCCGTGTGCCGTTCCAGTTCCCTGAATCTCTCCAGCGGCGAATCCGCCTCCGTGTCCTTTTTCGGAAACAGCGAATGCAGGTCTTCGGTGCTGTAGCATACAGACGACAATTTGGTCGATTTGCTCAACTCGTTTTCCACCTGCACAAATGCAAAACGAGTCGGTTACAATACTACAAATATTTATTTATTCAGGTGATATTAGTACGCCACGTTACTATTTATAGTAAACATTTCGGTATTACAAATAATAATACTATCGAGAACTGCAATACGCACAGTGTTCGAGTTTACGATCCAACAACTTACTTGTTCGTTGAGTCGTCCGACGAGTGAACACAGTTTGTCTGCCGCCAATTGGTCATCACAACAATTTCCGTCACCGCCATTGCCGCTGTCACTCCTTTCCGGACGTCTCACTTCAATTTCGTCGATACGACGTTCTTTTGATTCAACCTTTTGCAACAGGTCTCGGATTTCCGATTTCAACGTGATCACTTCGTGGCCCTTTGTCGTGAGTTCGTTCTAAAGATTAATTACGATGAATATGATAATAGTGACATGTAGTATAAAGTAATATTATCTATACTCAGTCCAGCGAGAGAACGCGCCGGTTTGGCACATCCCTTCACGTCACCACGCTCATAAAACCGGTTTCCCTGTGACAGGGTGTCTCGCGGGCATGCGCAGAAGAACAGATTTTGGTCGCAATTCTCTTGTTGCATAGAGTATATATTTATGATTATGACATAACTCCAAAAAGAACCCCGTTTGAGGGGATCGAAGGACAGATCACTACCTCTGAGTTTTATTTTATATTGTTTTATATGTTAACAATTTTGGTTGTATTAAAATATCGTTAGAAATTGGCTTTCTTCTTTTTTTTTAGTTATTTAGTTATGATGCAGTGAATGTATAATAATTAAATAAATAGTTAAGCAATTAAAATTAAATTATGTGAAATTTAATGATATTTGTATTTAAGTGATTTAGTCATTTACCTATTGTTGCAAATTATTATTACAAACTATTAAAATGTTGTCGATTTGACTGAATAGATATTTCAGATGTTAAAAATTCAACTCCCTCACCCGTGAATTAAGTTACGTTTTGATACCCTTGGACATGTGACATGTGTGTATATTCCAACGGTTTCTAGTACCTACTAAGCCACTTATACTTAATATCTTACTTGAGTATCTTTCAGTTGTGATTTCACGTGAGAAAGTTCTCCAGATTTCTGACACAGTCCCCATTCGGTTTCCTCGAGTCTCACCTTCAATTCGTCTACTTCTTTTTTCAAATCCGTCGTCTCTGACTCCAAACGTTCGTTTTCTTCTTGTAATCTCTTTTTTTCGTCCTGCAACTGTTGTACAAGACGATTAGATGTGCATCATACATCAAACGGTATGATAATATTATTATTTTGCCCACCAATTATATATTGAACACCTCCATATAATATATTTACCTTGTACGTCTGCATCATGAGCATCTGTTCCAGCTTCAACGACTTTTGCGCGGCTGTCTTGAGGCGATTATCGCCCATTGCTTTGATCCTCCGCATTTCTCTGTCCCACGCGTTTTCCTTCTCCTGGTAAACTCTGAAGATCACTTGCTCGTTGTGCTCCATCGTTTGCCGCAGGTGCCTTAACTCACGGTCCCTGTCTCTCAATACTGTTTCCATTTCGGATAACATTGTAGAGTCAGATGGTGAAGGGGTCAAGTCCAATAGACTGGCTGACCCT